CTATCAAACGGATTTTCCGCTAGTGCTTCCCTATCAGTCAGTGTTTGCCAATAGACATCGCGTATTTACCCAAACTGGGATTGGTGCCCTACAATCTAAAAGGTTTATCGGAGCAAATTAACCATGTCCTCGGGCGGTGGGTATCGCAGACAGGTGACTAAGTAAACCGGATCAGAGATTGGCAATCAATGTCGAAAACAACTGACACCAAAGTATTTTCAGGCCTACACACTCCGACTAAAAACTCAGACTGAACATCAAACCAACGAGTAAATATCCTCAGTGCACATTATCCACAGCTACCGTTCAAAAACTGGGTCTTTAGTGCTGTAGGCGTTCCTACAAGCCATTATTTATTGAGTTAGATCGAGTATTAATTCAGAAGAACATAAAAAGTGCAGTGAGCTGACTTGTTCCTCAGAGGAAGCCAGCCCAATAGTCTGGTGATTGAGCGAATGGGTAAATAAGCCAAAATATGTACTTTTCAAATCTGGGTTTTGCGCGTATTCAGAGTCCTTTTTAACTTACCATATTGCCTCAGCCCGAATCAACAAAAGGTCTGCGTATAAACACACATACATACACGAAGGTTGGGTCATCGATTCCGACGAGGTTCCCGTGTGCACCTCAGACTGGAGGCGCAGGGACGGTGACTTACGCATGAATTAGATTATAGTGATAGTAGAATTTCACTGCATTTACTGCACCCTCACCCTCGCTTATACCCAGTATGAGACACACACACCTGCACGCGTTTGCGGTGGAGAGCACCTAGGTCATCGGCTACGCCGAAAACCACATCGAATCCGAAATCGTCAGCGAGGGCAACCTTACCAACCGGCCAGCCGAACACCAGTATTGCCGCATCCAGTTCTCTCGGGATGACGCCTTCTGCATCACCCGAATGGCCTCGGAGAGCACTGAAGCGAGAATACGGATGATGTAGCACTCGAGACTATCCTAGCGTTAACTCATACCACTGGCCGAATGTATAGTATCCTTTGATGCTTTGTCCGTCAAAATGATCTCAGGGTGCTCCATCTTATCAAGGTTAAGTAAGTATTGTACAATGATCACCTTTTCCGGATGCTTACTGACCTGCACAATCTTCGAAGTGGGCAGGGCAGACGTTTTACTAATAGTAATAGCCTATGGTGAGATGGCGTCCTCCATCTTTCTACGAACGCGATACTTTCGGACCAGATCCTCGGAAACAGCCTCGATAACTGTGTCCGCCCAAGCAACACGGAGAATGTCCGCCACACACTAGAGAATATAGGAGCAGCTCTGGTAGGCATTGACACTAGAATGGGAGCAAACGGGTCTGGTTGACATCTCGGGGCAATTTAACACCGCCGTTCGTTGTTCAGATCGTGAACAGCTGACTACTTATGGCCATTTGAAAGAGGCATTTAATAAATCTAAAACGGTTGTTAGCCCTGTCTTCAGTTACATTCACTGCGTACGCCCGGAGTGTTTGTTCCACGGCGGCTTAGAAAAATGTTAAAAATTCAGAGTACGAAAAAGTATTAATTACCTAGGTGACAGTGATCCAGATTCCAGTTCCAGGGCGCGGCGGATTCTGCATAGAGAAAAAGGAAAGAAATAATGAACAAATGTAGTTCCATAATGTCTTTCACCGACCCTGTCAATATAAAACTCCAGACAACGACCCGTGACGAGTGGAAAAACGGTTGAGACCAGGTTAACTCATGTAAAATTTCTGTTTCTATGCGGTGTTCCATGTTGTAATCATCAACTTATAAAAAGGAATATTCCTTAACTTTTATTTTGACTACTCATTGCAAATGTAAAATTTGTGATAGTGAAATGACGGTAGAACAGTGGAATAAAAGCTCTGCAGAGAATACCGAAAATTTAAACGTGTCTTTTGCTATATCAATCAAAGAATTTAATCTTAGAAAACGCGCTGGCTTTCGTGCATTTTAATATGTCATCCGCAATTAATGACCACAGCTGTCCTCAAAAAAGGCTCTCGAGGCCAACTAGAACCCTTTTTCTGTACGTTACGATGAAGATAATTGACTGTTGTAAAACTATTCTGTCCTAAGAGTTTTTCTATATGAATTTATTAAGAAGTCTAAATAAATATATTTGTTTTCTCACCCTAACTGTGATTGAGTAGTAAACTAACACATATCCATTTCATTACCCGGAAAGCTCGCACCACATTTTCCGAGTAAACTCACAAAAATGCGATCAAAATTACTAACTATACTTTAGGATAGAAAATGGTGCTTAGGTGACGTTGCATTACTGATTTACATGAAAAGTCGTCCCAAGACGGGCTAGGATGTAATGTATGCCCCGACCAGGAAAATAAAGATAGGTCAGCATGCAAAACGTGACCTTATTATATGCCAACCTAGCCCTTACTCTAAACATTGTGAAGATGTGGTCACTGGGACAAGAGTGTTATTTGCCTGAAGTTTCGAAATCCATCGCAGCGACAGTAGCAGAATCGGGTTTATCCATAGTGTTTGTCAGGGTTAGCATTCGCTGCGGGATTAGTAGGGTCGTACCATAGTTTGCTGACCGTAGAAGGTTCGATTTATCTGATAAACTGACAGCTTTTCAAGCGGCGACTATTAGGACGCCGCAGTAGTTTCAAAACGCATCAGTTTTACTGTGGTTATGAAAGATGGCGCAGAGCCGGCCGTATTCATGTCTTCGTCGAGCGTCCGTAAAAAGTGAGTAAGGTCAGCCAGGAATGGCGTTGTAGTGGCCCGACTCCGAGTGCAACGTTCAACCTCTCACCTCTCGTGACTACTTGCACGTGCGCACCAGTGTCTGCCGACCCCAATCCGGTCTGGTTAATCATCTTCCCTGAGGCTGATTAACAAATACTTTCGCTGGAGGCTCTTTTACGACTTCCGCGCTCTCATACTTCAGGAAGCGGCTGCGAACGCACGCTCGCCTGACTGCCAACCTATTCTCCACCAGCTCTGTACAGAATACACTATTCTTCCCACCTGGCGTCCGACTTCTTCTTTTAGCACCCAGATCCGGGTCTGACGGTCGTAGCGACTAGGTTCTTCCCTATTGACTTAAGCTGCTGTGGTAGAACCGCACTTGGTGGTCGGCATGATGTAAGGTCACCGGCTCTCGCAAACCACACTCGTCTCGAGACATTTTGCAGCCCTAACAATCCGATAACGAATGTTTAGCCCAACGGACACAATGGATAGGGTTAGATTAACATCCATAAAACTCCTATTACGGCTGTTCCCGGATTACAAACTGAACTACCCTTCGCATATCGCGTCCTTGCCCCGAGATGATGAACACGTGCCAGGATGTTGAGTTCCCGTCGAACATCCTTCCAACTATCTGTATAATTCATATTAGGGAGGGGTGAGGAAAATAGCTTCAGCTACGTTTATCCGTTCATGCCTTTACTATGCTAGTCTCAATTCAAAATGTGCATCATGCCCAGCTGGATTAAAGTTACGTTTCTTTTAGTGAAAGCCTCCGAAGAAGTTTTAGTTCGATTTTAAATATTTTGTTATTGTGATATTTTTTAGGCTCCTGCATGAGATTTTTCCGAAGAATGCGTCATTAATACCAACCGAGCATAGAAATTGATTCTCATCTGTCACAGTGAGCACAGGGAAGTCTGTTTACCGGAGGTATAGGGAGATGCGTGAGGCAGCTATTTAGAAGCCTTTATAAAAGCGGATAATATAGACTGTG